GGCGGCAGCAGCGGCGGCGGGCACCACCGCGAACGGATTGCCATTGTTGTGCTGGAGGTGCTCGAATCCCGCGAGCGGATTCGCGGGCTCGTAATTGCTGCGCCCGGTCGTATGTTCGCGGCGCATCGCGAGCGCCAGCATCTTTTCAACCTGTCCCGTCGCCGGTCGTCGTCGCGGTGCCGATCCACGTGATCCTCGCGCCCAATCTCGCGCGCACCGCCGACTCGCGTGCCTTCGTCGACGACGATGCCGTGGAGAACGTGGATGAACGCACGTACATGTCACGGCGCCGCTAAGACACCCCCGCGACACCCAGGATTACTCCAAGTCATTCGCCCGTTCCCGCACGGAGTTCGGTTCGCGCCACAGTCGGAATTTCACGAGAACGAACGGATAACACACTTGAGCTGAGAGACATTCGGTGATTTCCTCGAACGTGAGGCAAATTGGACGTAGAACACGCGGATCTGTAGCATGTGATCCACGCTATCCTCCAGCACGAACGATCGCTAACGTCCTCGGGGAGGGATAAGACGCCAAAGGACTCGCTGTTATATATTCCGTATCCGTATGAGAGTTTGCGAATCGATTGCGTGCGATTTCCTCGACGCACCCAACTATTCCTGATTATGTTTTCGAGCACGTGGAACCCGTATACGGTCACGCAAGCGAAACTTTGCTGGAAATGACATTAAATTGTTCTCGAGCAATTATCCAATAAATTGGTACTTGGTATCGCCCTCCCTCGAATGGTATCGCGTTGAACTGGAATTGCTTGAAGCGTGCCGGAAAAGGATGTTCTCGGAGCGTGGCCGATAAACGAACGCGACGTACCGGTACGAGTGCTGGTCGCACTGTATCACCGGAGGATACCGCTCTCTTGCTCTTCCTTCGTGTTCCTCCAGCACATCGACCTTCCGCTCTCTTTGACACGTTGGCCCCACCTTCGGTTCTCTTCCTTCTCGCGCGCGCCTTCGGCTCCTTCTTCTCTTTCGCGAATCCCGTCGCACTGTCCTCACGCGCCGGCTCCTATTATCACGCTTAGGCTGACTCGCGTCTACGGTCCTCTCGTCGTCGATCCTCTCGTCGGTCCTCTCGTTGATCCGATGGCCGATGGCCAATGGCGGTGCGCGGTGCGAGGTGGTGAGGAGGACTTGAGAAGAGAAACCCGTGGACGAAGGCGAGACCGGGCGAGGCGACGAAGGCGAGACAAGGCGGAGAGAAGCGTAGAGAAGCGACTAAAGGGGTTCAGCGATGGCCCGCGCTAGACTAATAAAGCGTGGCTCGCGCGCGAAGCTGTCGGGTGCCTGGAGAGCGCGCTCGCACGTTCGCGCGCTCGTGCACTCACGCGGGCGAAGAGACGCGGAGAGAAGAGGAACCCCCTCGCCCGGATCAGAGGCGGTTTGCGATGTCGTTGGCGCGTCGCGTCGCGTCGCGCGCTCGCGCTCGCGCTCGCGTTCGATTCCCCGCGAATTACGTTACGCCGCGCCGTCGGCCCGGGCGACGCGATGACGAGATTCAAACGGCAGCGTGTCGTCACGTGTCGTCGACATCACCCCAGTGGATACTCCCGCTACTGTTGACGGTGATTGTCTACGGTCTACGTGAAACAGCTCCCCCTCATTCATCCCTCTCTTCCCCCCTTCCCGCCCCACCCAGCCGCAAGTCACTCGTCTCTCGCCTCGCCACTTCCCTCCTCCGCCTTCGTCTTCGTTAGCTTCCTCTCGCGGGTTCTCTCTCCCCCCCCCCTCTCGCCCTTGTCTCGCCCCCGTTTCTTCCACGGGTTCCGGGCCATTCGTCTCTCCCGCGTGGTCTGCAATCTCCATTCATTCCTTTCCCCCGCCACCCTTCGCGTGCGAAGGATGTCTTCCCTCTTCTCGCCGTGTATATACCTTCTCGCGCGCCGTATTTCCCCCGTTCCCCGATCCGGACCTGGTACATCTCGCGGTGTCCTCTCTCCATCCGGCTATCCCTCCCCTTGGTACCGACGACCGGCTCCACGTTCCCTTCCTCGAGGTATATACGATAGCGTCTCTGTCTCGTCAATCTTTCCTCTTTCTCAGTGCCCCGAACGTTTGAACACCAACGCGTTCATCGCCGGTACCACAACCGACGTTCGCCGGGTGACGTCACCGGCGTGGGCGCACCCCCGTGCAAGAGAAAGAGAGAAAGGAGAAAAGAGATGGAAACAGAGAGAGAGAGAGAGAGAGAGAGACTCTTTCTCCCATCTCTCTTTCCAAGCATGTCTTCTTTTCTCTCATCTGCTTCTCTCTTCCTTTATCCCCGTGAATTCCACTCCTCCACTTTCTGTGGTCCGAGTTTATCTCCTTTATCTCTCTCCTTTCTTGCTTTTTGCACGCGCGTGCCGGAAGACACCTAATCGATCGGTGACACAACGCGAGGAGTCACGGCAGAAAACAGTGCCAAAAAAAGGAAACAATAAAAGTTTCACGTTCATCAATTTTAGCGATAGATCGTAACGCGCGGGGATCGGGAAGGACCACGGATGGACCGGGATGGAAGTCCACGGAATCGCCATTCGACAAAGGATTCAGAGGTCGTCGGCCTCGCAGCTTGAACCTATTTCGTTCTCCGAGTAGAAAAGGACAGTAGCTCTTCAGCTCTTGGAGTCAGTTTACCCTCAACAAAACATGCAAAGCTGATGATTACCACGATCGAGGATATAAATTCTTGAATTATCGTGAAAACATGATGAACGAATGAATGGGAAGGCAAGAAACGATTGATCGGCAACTGAAAAATCTCGATGGTGCTGATTAAAGATTGTCAAATACGGTGTCGGCGGAAGTGTCGACGATGGACGATGGCCGATGACGACGTCGGAGGCGATGACGATGTTAACGTCGACTATGACGACGATAATAAGAGGCGCGATGACGATGACAACGACTAGCGACGGAAACAACTACGACAACACGAATCACCATGGCGGTGGCATAGTCGCAAGCGTTGCGCGCCATATCGGGTAAGACCGTTCTACGTGGGCTTAACATCTATCTCGCCGTCTCCCACCCCTGGCCTCGCGTTACCGAGCAAACACACCTTCTTAGCGGCATTTCATTAATATCATAATGGCAATGGAGATCAAGCGAATGAGTCGGCCTGCCCCGGGGGCAGACTTGGAACCAAGAGGCGCTTCTTCGTAGCCAACGCCTCTCGCCGTACGCTAACTGTCTCGCGTTCGAGTAGATCATTTGTCTTCCTCAGTAAAGTACAACTACGCATGTTGTAGACCCCAGCGATTCTCCGCTGGGCACGAGTCGCTCTCGCGAGGTCGCGAAATGATCCTCCGCCGAGATATTCCTTTCTTTAGAATATTTTGTAAGAACAGACCTTTGCGTTTAACCCGTTAAATTAAACTATTTTTTTATTGTACTGCAATATTATAATCCACAGAGGAGTAAAAGAATTACAATCGCAATATAATGTAGAAAAGGATATCATATCGCAATGACACAGAATGAGCAGATATCGTTTCCTTTTATAATTGGCTGCGTTCAACAGAAAAAGCAGCTTTGCAACCGTCGTGAAATTCTTTAATATCTTGCTCTTAGTTTCTCACACTGGATCTAAATGTATAAATCAATCGCATTCTACTCAGTTGCGAAGCTGCTTTTTCTGCTGAACGCCGCCATTTTTTTACAGACTTCGTACACTTTGCACTCTCTTGCGTTTTGAGGAGACATTCAGATTTTTAAATATTGATATAAAATTTTTAATGACGAATTGAATCTAATTGGATCTAATATGAAATAGGAGATTTTAGATGAAAAAATAAAACTAGCCCTATTCAAGGGTACGCAAATTTTACGCAGACCTCTTCAATGTTGAAAACTGTTTACAGCAACGTATAATTTACGAACTCTCAAATAAGTCGTTACATTGTAACCGAGCTCGTGCGTGGACGACCAAATTAGAAAAAACCTGGCTAATGAGCGCGTAATAGTCGATTGGGCTATTACGAACAATTTGATGAGATAACTCGCTTGGGATTACTGAGCCTTCTTAGCGCGCCGGTATTCTATTCAATGAGTTATAGATAAAGTGCACGCGCGCGCGCGCGCGCTGACTCTCGAACCTCATCCTGACTAATTACGGCAAAGCCACGAGCGACATTAGCCGGGATTAGCATTCCGGTCGCCTTAGATACGAGAAGTTGCGAATGAACGTTACCTTCACGCCGCAAGAAGAGGGGAGGACGGTTTCTGATTCTGACTGTAGTATATCCGCTCTCTCCTTCTCCTCTTTTCCTCTCCCTCGCTCTCCCTCTGAGAGACATAATTCGAAATTGTCGGCTGGGTCAAAGAGCAGAACTCGGCTACTTAAGCGAGTTGACTCTGGTGTTCTTCGGGGTCACGTGCCACAGCTTCTTCTTCTCCTGCTGTAATCTCCTACCGTTGCCCTTGTTCTTCCTTCATTATCGTATGGAAGAATTTTGACTAGAACGGCTTAACATTAATGTTACGGTATTCGTGCGTACTTTCACGCTAGTAATTAGTGTAACATCACAAAATTACACATCTATGATGATATATATAAATTTTTATATAGATAGATTATTCTCTCTTTCTCGTACAATTAGCTATAAATATAATAATAAAAATGTACAATACCGAGAATTACAAGATGTCCTAAAAAAAAATTATTTAGTAAACATTATTAAAATTTTTTACTTGAAAGGTGTAAATAATGACATACACAAAACGAATAAAAAAATCTTCGATCAATGCAGACCAAAAAAATTAAATACGTTCTAGACAGGAACTGTTTCCATAAATTCAAAATATAAGATAACAAAAGAGATGAATAATAATATTCTGTATTATCAAAATCAAGAAATATTTTTATCTTCGACAAGATCAAAATCCTGTGTCTCAAGTCGATCGGACATTTCC